TGTGTGTGTGTGTGTGTGTGTGTGTGTGTGTGTGTGTGTGTGTATATATATAGACACAGACACACACACACACACACACACACATAATTTATCTAATAATGTTTCACTTTTATACTTACATCTAAAGTCTATATTTGCACAACTATGGAACTTCTTTTTCTCTAAAAAAAAATCTAAACAATCTACTATCTAAAAGGTGAGAGATTAAGTTTTACTTAGTCACTGTTAATGTTGCACGTTTTTAAAACAGCCGAGGAAATTAACTGGTAATATGAAATGCATTAAAGATAAATTTAGAATTTAATCCAGAATATCTCATTATTGTGTACTTTATTACTCATTTGATGTTTTGGTGTGATTCGATAAAGGAAATATTCAGACAATGCTATACCTATCGCCAATATTTTGTTAATGATAAATACAGAATTAAATTTATATGATATTAAATGTATAATTTTTATCGTTATTCTGGTTTTGACGCTCATGAACAAAAGTTGTGTTTACGACCGAGAAGCTTTCTCCGAGTCGGTATTTAGTCGTTGTGCACAACCTGGTAGAGTCCGGTTCAGTTCGGACCTCTTCCTCTCTCCTTTACTGTGTGTATTAAACTGACAAATGCCACAGAGTTGTTCATTAAATCGGGGCTTGAAACATTAACGTAGATACATTGTTTAAACACTGATTTTAGTTACCTCTTCAGGACCATTTCAATGAATTTCATTCTTATAGCATTTAGTGCTGTTTTACTCCTTCTCTTCATTTGATCGCATATACTCACAAACTGTTCCATATTATTATTTTCCATCATTCGGTTGTATATACTCTTAAACAGTCCACTTTTTTTTTTATTCGAAATAGTTACCAGACGCGTATTTTGCATAAAATACACTTGGGGTGTCTAAATCTAGGCGATAAATTTTAAGATATGGTATAAGTGGACTTTTTCTTATAATAGAATTTGAGTGGAGAGAAATACTTAGAACTATCATCACCATGTATGATATAGCGATCAATTTCAGTTAATAAATCATTCTTGTATGGATTTTTATCAAAGTATTGGAACGAGCAATCTACGAGTTTGTTTTGGATAGGTTTAATATTTGTGCATGAATTTTATATCTGTTGTTCTCAGTACCCTGTAGGCTGTGGTAATTGGTGCATTTTGTATGGTCCATAGTTTCTTAAAGTGTGATGATGCTACATTTGTCCAAGCAGGACAGGCATATTCCATTTCTGCTCGTATGTATTGTTTATAAAGTTTGATTATGTTTTCTGGTGTGGCTCCTGTGTTTTACCTGTTAATCTTTTAACATATAGTTTGCTTGTTGCCATACTTTGTTCTTCATTTCTGTAATATGATTTTTCAAGTTAATTTTCAACCGTATGTTATTCCAAGGAATTTTGCTGATGAAATTTAGAATAGCTCCGTTCAGGTATATCTAAGTGTTTTAATTGATTTTTAGAAAATAGAACTAGATTCATTTTTGGAACGTTTACTTTTACTCTGAGCTTTTGACAATATTCCACTGTTTGATTTAAAACAGACTGCAAATTTGTAGCTGTAGTCGAAGAGTTTGCAGAATTCTGCCACATCATCTGTGAAATGTGTTTGCAGAATTCTGCCATATCGCCACATCATCTGTGAAATGTGTTTGCAGAATTCTTCCATATCGCCACATCATCTGTGAAATGTGTTTGCAGAATTCTGCCATATCGCCACATCATCTGTGAAATGTGTTTGCAGAATTCTTCCATATCGCCACATCATCTGTGAAATGTGACGTCAAGCTAATATTAGGATCATTTAAAGGCATGTCATTTACATACATGATGAAAAGGGATGTGGCTAACTAACCCTCCATGGGGAACACCTCCTTCGGGAGTAAAGTACTCCACATTCACTCAACCTTTTCTATTTTCTAGAAAGTTTGATAACCAGCGAATAACTCCTGTCGGTAAATCCATTTCTTTCAATATATATCTTAATTCGTTATGCC